GCAGATTTATATAATCTCGGCCTTGAGGCGCAAACACATTCTTTGTGGGGATCAGTAGTATTGTCCATTTGCCAAAACCTATTTAAGTGTGGCGGGGCTTGCATATACAACCTGCTAGTTAGAAGCCAAGTATTCTGATCACTATGAATGTCACCCAGATTCGATTCTCAAATGTAAAATCTAACCAGTCTCATCGTTTGTTCATTTAAAGTGAAAAAGTATCAGATATACTTATCTTTACTTTAACCAACAAATAAATATAACTTTGTAAAGGAGTACATATTTTCAAGAGATTAATATAAATTCATAAAAGACATAGATACATATTCACCAAACAAATCCTAAACGCTTGTTAGTATTAATTTTTTTATTTGTCAAGTTTCCATTTAACATAGCATTGTTACGCATTTCTTTATTGTAACGTTGATCATTCGTACTCGTAGACTGATCACTGTTGTGTTGATCATCAGTTGGATGATTCATATTAATGGTCACTAAACTTGGTTTTCTTGGTAAACCGATGCCTAGACCAGTCATTGATCCTGTATGGGTTGCTTGTTCCAATGGATAAACATTTCGACCGTTCGCTTTACAATGATTAATTACCTAGAATTTATGTTGTTGGAAATTAAACAGATCAATAAAATGCTAAGTGTTGTTTTTTTGTAGTCCGACTGTTATAATTGCATCTCCTACGGTATAGCGAACCTATTACGCAGATGAGAAGAATGACATGAGCACTGAAGTTTAATTACTAAACCGAATTATAATGTATACAAACCACAGCTATGTATGCACTATTGTCCTTCCAATCCAGACCAGGGCATATATACTTATATCTTCGTTAGGTGTTTGATCGACTTCTTCTAGTCGTGTGCCTTGTTTTTACAATTCATCACTTATCGTTTGACTTAAAGATGAAAAGTCAACACAGGCACATGATATATCTTTGTTCACCCAGCTTATGACATTGTTTAAAGCTTTAAGATGTTCGATCATTACCATATTCTGCGTTAGCTTACTCATTAGGTGAAAACAATAAGTAAAGAATTAATAGTTGGACTATGGGTATTTTCTGACTACCTTTATTATCATTCATCCGGGCGTTTATTATTTATATTTTTGAATACATTGTAAAGAGGTATGTGAAGGGTTGGAGTGATGAAGATAACGTTTATCTCTTATTTACAAGGTATTCGGATAAAATACGCCTGGTGAATTAAATGAAGATTTTATCAGTAAAATTAGTCTAGTTACCAAGTCTATAAATTGCTACCAGATTGGTTGTCTAGTGGTCTGCTACTTCACGATTTGCATGAACAAAGACTCCTAATTTACACATATCAACTTCATATCTACAATGGTAGATTAGAGAATCTAAAATAAGTTGACCATAAAATAATATACTTACAGAAAAAACTATCCTAGATTGATAAATTATAAGTACTTTCTAAAAATATTTAAATTTACGGGGTCAATTATATTTTAAGAAGAAGGAATGTTTAAATTACTTGTTTGAGTTTGTACGCCGATTGTAATCAGTATTTCGAAACGTCTGATGACCTGTGGGTTTTCATCTCTGGACATATTATCTAAAAATTACAGAGGCAACTAATTCTAAAGAGACGTGTGTGGTTGACTTCATGCAGTTTCCCATAGAGCAGTGTGTTCACAATCTCAAGGTCGTCGAGACTACAAGTAGTTCAATTTCTTTACAGATTGGGGAGAATTATTATTTCATGATATGGGCTACGGGTGCTGACCACCGCCCTCGTGCCTCTAATACGTTTCAGGGTTTATGAATAAATGCTTACTTTTGTCTAACATTATGTATAGAACTTAATTTGTCCTACAGATATTTTACTAGAACTGTAAACACGATAATGATGACCCCAGAGTCTATGTGAAAGCTATAATCAGAACAAGTATTGTTATTAAGTAAAATAACAAGGGTCTGCTTCTTTGTTCTTTGTGACAAACTTACTCTGGTTGCGTAATCTTGAAAAAATTTTTCTTCCATTTGAATCAGTTTATTTTCATTGGTTATCGCTTCAATTTCTGCTTTGCGTTCTTTCTTGGCTAGTACTCGTTTTACCATCTGTGTCGCATTTCATAATGAGTAAACATTAATGTATAATTAATTGATAACATTATTTTACTGCTTACTTTGAAAAATAAACTCCGCCTGGAGTCCCTCCGGGGGCTACTGCCGGTCCCAAGCCCGGATAGAGGAGGAGGGTTGGCATGGGTTTAGCGTCCCCAACCCGTAGAAAACTAACTCGCTAAAAAAACGCTAACCAGAAAAAACTATTCAAACCTTGAAAATAAGTAGTATGAGTTATTAATACAGCGTGTTATAAGTTTTGGTGTTTATTCCAAAAATATTAAATCATTAAGTAGTTTAAAATTTTTATTTCTATTAGTATTCTTGGTTTTTGAACAAAATATGCACGGATAACCTCAGTTTGAGAAAAGTGATTTTTTAATGAATTACTCAGACCAAGTGTTCAGTACTACGATTGGGAACTGAAATCGATGTTAAACATTCCTAGTAAACAAGCAATAGAAGTGTTCATGATTAAGCAGAGAGTTCGTCTTTGGAAAAATAAGTTTAGTACAGCTGGTAATTAATGAGAAATCATTATGAAGCTAAAAATACGATAATCAACCTCAAAATAATAAGCAATTGTAATTTGACTGAAATGACACATTACCTACTGATTCACACCTGTCACTCCTAGTGGAACATCGGCCACCGACAAGGAATATCTAAACAAACTTGACCTGGTCTCTCCTTTCCTGTTGTTTCCAGTCACTATTCATTCTTCTGATATCTGCTTCCAATTCTCTGCGCAATGTGTTCTTTATTCTTTCACTTTGCAATCTGTCTTCACGATTCCAATTTGGCACTTGCCTCGTGATGCAGTTTGATGATTTTTGCAATTTATGAGGTATCTACCTACAATGTCTCCCTAATTTCATCCTTATTTGGAAGTTGTTTTGTTCCTCCTCCTTCTTTGTTTTGAAGAATGTTGTGACGGTTCTGGATCCATGAGATTCCCATCCTATAAGTGCTTTAAATGCATCTTTGGACTGTATCGGTGCAACTCATAGAGTGTGCGGAGCATTTTCTTCTTCGTGACCAGAGTACGGCAGCATCTCTCTCGTATCTAACCTTTTTTATCTAGCTTTGGTTCAATAGGTTTTACTGATTCCGAGAACCGCCAAGTTGTATCTCCTTGTTTCCGTAACTATTTGACCAGTCCTCCCGATCTCCCACATTATCCGAACATCCCATGTATCTATATTAACTGTTGCTCTCTTTGTTAGAAGGGGAATCTGCTAGGTTTGAAGCGATTACGAGTTCACTTAGACTGCGAACGGGACAAAGACTTGCGACCAAAGATCAAATAACTAGCTGTTCTATTGCGTCCTAGCCCCGCTAACTAGAAAGAGAATTCAAAGTCCGAACGGGGAAGTATATTCCGCAAAATCCCAGAAGCACGAGCGATCACAACAGACACAAATCAAAGCGTAAATATACAGTACAAAACCGTCCTCGACAAGCGTTACAAAATAGCATACTAAAAGACACAACGGACCAATAGCGTTTAAGATTCTCCCAAGTGGGAAATACGACACGAAGGTGAAAAGAGCGCTCCTGGCGCGAAATGAAAGAAATTCAAATTTTCTAAATGAAATTGCAAAATTAGGTTTTGTCCCAGTGAGTTCTGGTGACCTAACGTTCCCAACAGAATCGGCCTCGTGATTTCCGAAGAATCTCGGCTCCCACCATGAGGCGTCATCATCCTTCTAAATGAAGGTCCTTCAAATCCCAGGACTGGGTTTGAATGGTTTAAATGATTTTTTTCTGAATGGTGTTTTTGGTAGGGTTGTTTTCTACAGGATGAGGTTGCTGACCCCATGCCCGACCCTCCTCCTTTACCGGTGCTTGGGTCTGACAGTAACGTTAGAAATGCTTCAGGTACGGTTGCAGTGATTTATTATATAATGATGCTCCATAATGTTACTGACATTTTGAATAAGTTTTGCTAGGAATTAAAAATTTCCGGTTGATATTCGCAAGAAAATAGTGATTTTTTGTTGAAAAAAGTCTATTGTGCTGATGTGATTGAAAATTGGCTGTACTAGTGCAGATCCACGTTTTATCTTCCATTATAGTTTTCAGAACTATTACTTGTGTTTTATTTTCGAAGTATGTGCTCCTAGTTTACTATTTTCACCATCGTTGGTATTATTATCACTTACGATTTCTTTGAGCCGGCTTTTAGATCGATGATAACTGGAAAATTCAAGAACTCTGCAGTTATCTATTCAAATTGTTAGTTCAAAATATGACCAGATTTAAGTCTAACCCATCATTTGAAACCACAGCATGTGAATTTAGAACTGTTTATAAAATCAAATGAAATTTTTAGTGTTGGGGTGACTTATATGCTATGTTAACATGAATAAGTTTATACATTAAAGGAACGTGTGAGGTTAATGATCAGAATAAATATGTGTAACATGGGGCGGGAGATAATCATGTAATTCGAAACCAGAATAAATGTTTGGTCAAGAATTACATCCGGAAGAAATTTGTTCAACCATTTATTTAACATGGCTAATTTCTGGTCAAATTAGTTAACAATCTCATACACATAGTTCCTTTTATCATATTGGTGAAAGGGAAAATAAAGATTTGGGAAGAATAGCATGAATTCATTTTATTTTTTTTCGGTTCTCATCAGCTCCTTACAACCTGTAACACTTACGTATCATAATCACATAATCGGTTCAAATTACCTACATGAAGGAGTTCAATTAGAGGTTGATATGAACACAAATCAGTGTAATATAGCAAGAGTATAAATAAATTTAATACGCTAAGTAAGATGTTGCAAATATATATTTAATGTGGAAGAACATTTTACAACACTGATAGTAACAAAAAGACCGAAGGGGTAGAAACAAGTAATCAAGAAACTCTGAGTAAAACCCATTTAGCTAGATTGAAGTCACTAGTCTAGAAGACAGTCAAAATGAAATGACGTAATGATGTGACTAATTCAGAGTTGGAAAAAATTTTATGTAGTGAATAAGCGAGTCATCAAAGCAAATAACAACTAACGGTCATCCACTTTTAAACACATAAATCAGGTTTCCGACGCCTGGTAGCGATGACTTCAGCAAACGTCAGAAGTTTTGATCTTGGTTATTCATTGGTCACCTTGAAAGATTTCCAAGTATCAACCTGATGTTCTGCATCGAAGAGATGTTCAGTGATCGCGTTATTTAGAGTAGTTTTCAATTCGCAGTATCCCCTACTCACAGCCAATAAGTGTTTATCAGTTATTCGAGGCTACCAATGCTGGTTGGCGTATCATTGATTAACTCAGGGAACGTCATAGGAATACATATTCTAAATGGTGGTTTCGTCATGTGATATTAGTGAGCGGCCATAAGTCATAACAAACAGCTCAGTGAATAAGGCATTAGTGTTAGCGAAGAAGCATATATACGACTCAATAATTTTATTAATTAATACAGTTTAATATATTGTTGTTGTAAATTATACACGCGCATCTAGTTATTTGATTACCCTAAATCAGTTGCCAACTAGCTCAATATATTCACACTTCCCAACTGACCAGATAATTTATCCATAATTTAGTGTCTTGACAAGTAGTTTTCGAACCAATGGTTCTATCTGTTGTGGATTTATATTGTAGTGTTAATAAATTCTCATGTGTAGTCAGGAAATTTCTGTGAGCGACAGTTGTCTCCTAGCCATTTTACAGCGTTTATTAATTCTTCTCCCAGTTTTTCGGGGGTATATATCCTTCCTACTCTATAGTGTTGTCGCCGATACTTTCTTGAAACTGACTAGGAAAAAACTATTGAAATTAAAGTAAAGATCATAACAAGTACTTTTTCGATAAATCGAACATCGAACTGCTCCGTCTGCTCTCGGTTGTATGACAATGTCAAGAAAGAGAAACATGTCTTTCTTCTTGTCAATCGCTTGTTTAAGCTCCGTGTTTCTAACCCTCTGATTTTTTCTTTGTTATCGATGCTGTATTTACAATATTTTACTTCGTCTGTTGAATTTATTTATAACCTTGCTATACTATACTGTTATGTCAACCATCTGACGAGTTTCAGACAGGATGAATCGACTTGGATTTTATAGCCAGCCATAACTGAATTAACTAAAACTCATATTAACCATGTTTGAATGAAACATTGATCTTTTATTTACATAGGGTAGCACCAGAAATACGTTGGATTTCTAGATTGTCCAATCTTATATTTCTTGTGAACCAATTTGAACTGAGTTTGATATTTTTTTCCAGATTTTATAATCAAACATATAGTGAATACATATTTTATTCAATTTAAATATGAACCCCACTGATATATAGTAATATAAGTACTTCGTTTTTGAACTTTCTAAAATTGTTACCCAACATATCAATAAAACAGGTACGATTCTATAAGAAAAATGGACCGTTAAATGGAACAATCTGTGATTATATATTAGGAAAGGTACATTTTAACCAATTTAGGGAGCATCATAAGCATTTACCAACACCTTAGTGTTGTTGTTCACACTGTAAATACAGGCAATATCTATGCATTCTCTTAAGAAGCCTATATCCTGACAAAAGTTGATTAAATGCTGAAATAGAAAAAAAGTGCACAAATAACCTTCTGAATGTCGATGGGGTTCTTTATGTATAGTATAGCGGGCGTCTGCAAGAAATGACTCTTATGCCTAACTGTACAATCAACTCATGTTCAACAATCAAACTTACTGATTCCTGCAGTAACTGTCGTGATAATTGCTTTCGTTCTTCCAGTTTTTTTGTCTTACATGCATTTTCATATTCAGTTAATGCCAATTCAGCCGCTATCCTTCCACGTATTTCACATAATTCTATTTGTTTCTCGTCTTCTGATCGTTTTCTACGTCTTTCTATTTCATTCACTCTATATTCATTGATTTCTTGGATAATTTTCAGTTGTTTGTCATATTTTTCTTTTGTATCTCGTTGGTATTTTTCTTCCTTTTCTGTTGTTGCTCTGTTTAAACGTGCTTCTTCATTGGTTTGTGCATTTTTCAATTGCTCTGATAAATATTCTTGTATTTTTTGTAGTTCGGCTTCTTTTTGTCTGATATTTATGAAAAAGAGGTATTTACTGTGATTTTCTATGGAGTGGGAGACATTTTGAAGATTTTAGATTTACTCTTCTAAATTGAATTATTGAATGAATGGACACTTTAGTGCCAGTCTAGACAATTATTATAATTATCAGTTCGATAAATCCATGCCAATCTAAACCTTGAATGACTGACGTTTTTTCTGATTATGTATATCATAAAAATCGATCGCTTTATAATTATTAACAACAGATCTGGACTTTCGATTCCCCTGAAAGACTGAACATGAAGCTTTTAAGCATATTGATGAGCTCATCACTTAAATTATTATTGGTTAGAATCTAATGGTTTACATTTCCAACCCAGTTGTAGAGCAAGAGTGATATACAGCCTCAAACTAGGTCGAAAAAGTTGCTCAGTGCCTCTTGATTATCAGTGGTTCCTCCAGTTTGATGTTAATATAAATAACAGACGATATTTCAACTCCTAATTACTTACTACTATTTAATAGTAGCTACTTATAATGATTAAATAACAAGCATTCAGGTTAATGATAAATTTAGTGCAATTTGAAGTGTGTGAATTTACATACTGAAACATATCACGTTCCTTCATGATACGCATTTTTGTCATTTTGATCTTAGCTGCTGCAAACAACCGACATTGTTCTTCAATTTTCTTTGATTTTCGTTTAGATGTAATGTGAAAAACAAACACAAAATTGGGAATGAGAAAAGATAAACAAAATATGGAAGATTTACTCTTTGATTATACATTTGTTGAAGTGGTTCGTATAGATATGTATGAACGTGTTAGAGCCTAACACCGAGAATATTTATCTTGGTAAATTAAAAAAACAAAACAAATGACAGATAAAATCTAAGTTTCGAACTAGGTTTTACGTAGCTGTTTCGTTCGTATTATTAGATTATGTTTTCAGCCCTAAAGAAACGCGTATTCTTCGTTCCATGTAAATTTGAGGTAATAACGTGTTTTACTGAATATAGCAGTAAACTTGATAAACAGACAATGGCTAAATATGTTAAGTCTTAATTAGGGTGAATTAGATGAGTGGTATATTGGTAATAAATAAGTGAAATAGTTTTAACGTTGACGTTTTGGAATACTGAATATGGATAAACTGCTATTCACTATCATAGCTACCGGCTAATACAAAAAAATAAACCTCAGTTCAAAGATCTATTCATAAGAAAAAAACAAACTTATTCTATTTGTGTGTGAAAAGACATTCGTAATAGTTTGGGGAATAGATTAAGAGGCAATATATTAAAACAATGAAACGATAACAGATAAATTCCCTCAACTTTGTTAAAGATGAGGAACATTTAGTAAAAAGAATCTTCCTGTAGGAAAATGTTAATTTTCAGAAAATTAAATGAGGAAATAGTATGTACCTTAACCAATTCATGGCAGGAATTAAATGATCCCAAATTAAGTGAACCTAGTTTAAGTGTCATGAAATGAACCAGCTTCCAGTCGACTTTAAATATCTACACTTAGTGTCTAAATCTCAGGGTTAGAAGTTTTGACGACCACCCCTAGGGTATTTAATATTGACTGCATCAGCCGGTAAAAGAATGCGACCATGCTTCATCGTTTAGTACAAAAATTGTACAGTAAAAAATTTTTATTTACAGTAAAGTCGTTATACATAGGCTCGTTAGTTCAGGCTTAAGTAGTCTATTACGCACCACTTTATTCATTGGCGAATAAACTGCTAGAATGAAAGCAAAATTTCGTAACGTAAAGTATAAAATTTCCTGTATAAATGCTTGGGGAGTATACCTTTGACAGTTTATACACCTAGACTCAAAATTTATTAGTAGATTGCTTCTTTACACAGTTTAGTAATAGAACCGATCAGTAAATCTATGCATTTTTGATCTCGGTAACTTCAAAATTCGAAAACGAGTTCCATTACTGTTTACGATTTACTAAAAATCAGTACTCTGCTTCGGTTTGGGCACCCGAGAAGTATCCCAGATCTCACACAAATTGAATGACTTATGTGGCGCATATCTATTTGGTGCATCCTTGTACCAATGTTTATGTGTTTAAATAAATAAGAAATCAGTACTTTGAGGCGCCAAGTAATATGAGTCATTAGTGTTCACATTATCATATATTTTCTCGTCTTCTTAAAACTATTTGACATACTACCATTGATGACCCTTTTTATTGGGCATGCATTACATTGCTCTTGCAAATCACTTCTGTTAGTCTCTATTTCTTTTTTCCTATGAGAAGCTTGTTAACTAAAACGACAAAGTTTACGTGATAACAGAAGTTTTTGTTTATTACGTGGTGATCAGAATATATCAAAGAATGTGATACAGTCTCTAAACGAAGTAATCAAGCGTCTTGATAGATTTTTCCTACTGTTAGATATTCGGAAATATTTAAAAATTAGATTCAATTTATAAACAATGGCTGTTAACTAGTTTCCAAATTTTGTAACGAATACAGACTCTAAAGAGTCGGGCAAATCAATCAGTCAACTAGTCATAAGCAACGTAAAAACTTGCGCACGCATGTGCATTAGTGAACCTTGCCTCACTATGCCAGTATTTTGAGATAAATAGATATTAGGGCAGTAAAAGTAGTAACACTATCAATGGTGGCGGCTGTATAGTGAACAAAAACTCAGATGGGGAAAACCAATTTATTGTCTGATGCAATATCACACGGTGGCTTGGTAAAATATGGAAGTTATACATTAAATACATCAATTGCACATCTTTGTGTCGTCCTTTAAATGCTCTGTCGTTTCTCTAATTATGTTGTTATTTCGTTTGCTTTCATATTTCCTCCCTGTTCTCTTCACTGCGATCTTCTGCTCCCAGGTATTACACTTTTGATTGGTACTACATACTAATACTACTATCTGTTAGCATAGGTAGCAGATATCACAGTTGTAGTAAAAAGCATCAGGGATAGATAATATTATTGAAAAACAAAGAATACATTGATTAGATAAAAAGTGTAGGATGATTTCAAAACTTAAAACTAAAGCAAAGACGATGACTGAATCCATCTACCCCGATTCCAAATCATATCACTTAGTTTTTTTCAATCATTAGTATAGCCATGCTGACACTAATCATGTTATTCTTCACCTACCTACACGGCTTAGACCAACGGTTAGTGACTTAATGAAGTGATTCCATGTCTCAGTTTCATCTACACAAGATTTCAACCTACTCCTACAAGAGATAAGGAGTTTGATTTTATTTAATTGTACAAATAAGTTCTATGTTTTAAATTAAATATACACGCTATTAGAGAAGTGTGATCATCGTCCTATCCACGATTTACCAATTGAATGTGCCTGGGCCCTAACGTTGGTGCTATCACTACAATTAAGACACATTACCGATTACTTTAGGACACTGGTTATGAACTACTTATATCCTAACATTTTTGATTTTCCAGTACGGACTATACCTAGATTATGTATTTATAAGTAATATATTCAAAATTTAGTGAAAAAGCAAAACAGTTGATCAATAGAATTTTCGCACTTCATCACATAATTTTTCAATCTCCTTCATTTGTATATGACCATTAATTTGGTCTTGAAATTCTTTTGCTAGTTTTCTCATCTGATCACGATAGATTTGATCGAGCTTCTCACGTTCTAATAAATCAATTGTTGCATTCTTTCTCAACGCTTCGCCTTCAGCCGATATTTGTTCTTTACGACGTTTTTTCTGTTTCTCATGTTCTTTTATTCTTGTGAATAAAATAATGACCAACATTAACAAAAAAGGGTAATACGGGATAAAAATTGCATAATTCTCATAGCTTAAGCCACGAACTGATGTTAGCGAAACAACCATTGGAAACTAGGAATCAGTGGACAGCCGTCTCAGCCTGATATTGATCTCTTTGATAGTGCGCACGTACGACCGCGCATCCGTGGAATGAACTCATGAGATGGGGTTCCTGGAGTTCATGATGAAAAGCTATTACCAGTAGAGTCCAACCGTGTCAAGGCACAACTACCCACCTTAGGGAATGAAAAAGGATGTCTTGTTGTTATTTTGTTCAGGAAAGAAAAAAGAAGCATTAGTTGATAGTGTAAGTTTAAATAGAACTCATCATCACTGTATTTCGATCAAGAGACTAAATCATATCATACTCACCAGAAGATTTAAATGGTTTTGATTTCTATCGCTGAAGAGGCTATGTTCTTGAACAGACGAAGAGTTTTTAGGTAGAGCAAAACAACTATAGTCAGTCCTTCGTATATATTATCATTGTTATTATTATTATTACACTTGATAAGCTTTTTGAGGAATATAATCAGCATCCACCCCATTCTACTACATCTGACCTCATTCATATTATTCTACATATTGCGTAATTTCTGATTTTTATTACATTATTTTCTCTCACCCCACGTTGACCATATTTATGCTGACTATTTAGATTAGATGGTGGTTGGAGATAGTCAACAGGAAACCCTGGACCCGGATTTCGTGCTACTTGGCACTCGTCAGCAAGGTGTACCTGTAATCTTGAGGGAACTGGTGCTCCCTGACGGATTCGATCTCGTGTCACCCAGCTTCGGATAGCTCAGTGGTAACGTCTCAATATATAGTGCCCGCAGTGTCGAGTCACCTAGACTGGTGGCCACATTGCAACATGATCGGTAGCATTCGATCTGCACTAATAAGGATTAGACACGCATGACACTGATCACCACCCAGTGATCAATCAATTGTGATGCTGACTATTTATTTCACAATTTCATTTCGCTTATAAACTGATTCAAGTTAACACAACATATTAGTCAACCCCAAGATTAACGATTTGATTTTATATAACAAACAATCCTTTTAATGGATTATTAATTTGAAATATATATATATATATCTATTTCGAATCATCATTTTCGTCTCATGCGATTATTTGGGTGTATTATACTACTAACTAATACACAATTATTTGAGCGAAGAATATTCTTTAAAGAAGAAGAATGTATTTGTAAAATCTCAGCGAAAGAATTTAAAGTAAATCAAACGTTTCGCCTGGCAATCTGGTCCAAGTTTTTTCAAGGAAACATATATATGTATTATATAGATACATTCTTACTCTTTAGTGTCTCACATTAACTCGGCGCCCAAATACTGTGAAACTATCCGATCAAATTTAGACGAAAGTCCTTATTTAGAAGAATATTCTTTTCAGTAATTTCTCATCAGGTTCTACAATTATAAATCCAAATTAATAATCCATAAAATTCATGTTTTTGAATAAAGGATTGTTTGTTATATAAAATCAAATCGTTAATCTTGGAGTTGACTAATATGTTGTGTTAACTTGAATCAGTTTACAAACGAAATGAAATTGTGGAATAAATAGTCAGCATAAATATGGTCAACATGGGGTGAGAGAGAAAATAATGTAATAAAAATCAGAAATTACGCAATATGTAGAATAATATGAATGAGGTCAGATGTAGTAGAATGGGGTGGATGCTGATTATATTCCTCAAAAAGCTTATCAAGTGTAATAATAATAATAAGTTTGAGATATAAAAATGAACATTAATCAAATTACGTCACCATATTATAAAATTGATTATTAACTAGTTTGCCCCGATGTCCGCCAGGGTGAATGGAGTGGCTGAACATATTTCTTTCGGATTCAAAGCTCTGGCTTTTTGATCCGAATAGCAATTGCTTCAGCCGTTTGCAGGATTCGCAGTCTGACGTAATTAGGTAGACTGCTGTTAACACGACATATTACTGCGAAAGATTGCTCCATGTTGACTGTATGTCCTGTTTGAATTAAATGAGCTAAAATGGAGTTGTCAACAGTTTTAACTACACCTTTGCTTAACCACACTGAGAGGTGCTCACGAGCCCGAATATACAAGTTCCTAGAACATCTGCCAATATAATTTGCTCTACAGAAGCAGTTGAATTAATAGATACAGAAAGAAGTGGCTACTCTAGGTAATTTATCTTTCAACCTTGGAGGGATTATTGGACATGTGGAAAACAATAATTGTAGTTTACCTGCATTAAAAGTTTTTTGAATTGATCTGCTTAACTTCAGTTTCAGCGTTTCATTTGATGCATCGCCTCTGAATTGTAAGCGTATATACAGAGGCTATTTGCTCACAGTTAGGCATTCCTTATGCTCTGTTTATTGGCTATGTTTTTATTTACAAATTTCTCAGGATATCCATTTTCTTTCAGGGTCGTGTATAATACCTTGGTTTCATTTTTGACCGTATGTAGAGAGCATATGGTCTTGATTCTATAGTGAAGTGCCTTAGTCACGTTCCTTTTGTACTACAGAGGAACAAAGCTAAGAACGTTTGTATATTGGCCCGTCCAACTAATATTCAGTAGTCAGTTCAATAATAATAACTATTGAGCATATAATGTGCAGTTCCAATCTGGTTTTGTGTGGGATTACTATGTATTTATGTAAACAGGTAACATTCAACATATTTATAATGTAACTGTATATTAGTAATACTAGCGACAATTATTATCAATCTTACTATACTCGTTAAACGTTTGTTTTATTGCAATACGTTTACATTTTGATACCATTCGTTCTCGTCTCAATGTTGTTTACTGGCATAATTTCGAAACACCTGTCAATTGTTACGTATGGTACTGTAAGTAACCTTTACATGTTAACTTCAGGAAGTACCTTGCTTTGATTGAACACTGACATGATAAACACTGTAGATAGGTTTGCAAATTCATCTCATATATTTTCGCAATAATACTACCGTATTGCAGAATATTTTCTCATTTTGGATTGCTAGATTTTACGCATTACGTGATCGTGTAGTCAGAAGCTTCGATAAGAATTAATAGATATTATATATCAAATAATAATAATAGCAATGAAAATCATTTACTGTGCTATTAATTCTTGAGCATTTAATAAATTTTTCTCATGTCTTCTTTCAGCTTCATCTAGTTCTTTCTTTATAGCTAAGTAGAAAGCAGAAGCATTTAGCGTTAGGAACCGCGTATTCAGATTTGCAGTAGCAAAATAGATTTGTGGGAATAAAAGATAATATTGAAAAATAAAAGAACGTTGTTACCATGGAGCGAATAAGCGAAAACATGTAATTTGGAAAGTTATTCTCTGAAGATCCAGTAGGTATATTTTTCATAATAAGATGAATTGTGGGAATTGTTAAGTATTAATGAGACAATTAATGGACTGAAATTAAACAACAATCGGACACCAGGAAATACTAGAAAACCGATTTTTCCATAATCGGACTCCTTACAAGTGTTCATTCATGATCTCGCCAGGTATCGGACCCAGGCATTTCAGGTCTCGCAGAAAAAGCTAAAACTTTCGACTAGTGAGTTAGAATCCTATAGTTTACGGCTCTAACTTCAATCAATTTGCAATATTGTGTGATCATCTCTCATTATCTTCATCATTAACACAGCTGAACTCCAATAGTCACTCCTCATTGCAAATTTCTTAAATAATTGGTTTACGGTATTGCAATATTTTTTTTCACTGGAAGCATTTACTTGATTTATTAGCTAATAAAGCAGCTTTTTTCGATTACAAACTATGGTAATTTAATAATAAGTCTGTTACTCAGCCTTGTACCAGTGAGATTTATTAGTTACGTTATGTTACAGTCATGTAATATCTGTATATTATCATGAGTTTTTATGCCTGAATAAAATGGAACAATAAATAATGTCCTTAGGTGATTTTCCTAGAGTTCTGATTAATAGGTTAGGAAACAGGTAAGAATGTTGCTTGGGTTTATCGGTCTTTTAGACCATACATTACCTGCATTATCTGATGTTAAATGGCATTTAAATATACGGTCAGTTGAGATCAATATAGAGCCTGGGACATAGGTGATTTGGCCGAAGTTGATTACCACATTAGCACGATGAGATTAGATTAGCAAGATGAATAGCACAGAAACTGCAAAAACGTGGTAGCGACAACGTTCAAAAAGATCAAACATTGAGAATATGGTTCAGAAAGACAAAAGGAAAAGGTAAATATGATGAAATAGCGGATTTCAGGACCGAAAGGAAGATAAAGAGTGGATGCATCTGTGCCGTTGCAAACGACTGTGAGCCGAGTTACCAAAAGTTTATAATTACTGATAGTTTTTATTTTGTGGACCGCATTTACTTGGCTCAGACTAACAGTTGATAACTTAATGGATTAATGCCACATCTTGGTTACGCTGTCACCAGCTTTATTCCAGTCTACCAATACACTCTACTAGTACTACGAAGTTACTCAAAACATCCCCAGTATTGACTGTATTGTAGATTATTCCTAAAGTTAGTGAACTGTCGTTTTACATGTGAATTTTAAGCAAAAGAATTTAAAACCTACAGTGTTCCCATTTAGTATATTGTAACTTAAATTAAAAATATCCCAATTACATGGATCGTATATCTACTATTGCTCCACAACTACAACGCTTCAACCGTATTACCACAGACACGACGAAGCGAAAGGGAAGACAATCACTTAGAAAATAACTATAACTGTCTTCAGGGTTGGAGAAATAGGTTACAACTGCTCCATATTTTTAGTTCATACATAATTTTAGTATAGATACAAAACAATATTAAAAGTTTAAGTTACATATGAGAGAATAGCTAAGTTCAAAGTGAATTCTTATGTAATCATCACTTTTTGCTGTTTAGCGTCTAAATTTAAAATGAGAAACAGCAAATTAGATATTTTCTATAGCCTTCTAGAAGACCTGTTAACTAAATGCTCTCTAAATACACGATAGTTTGTCACTTTCTATTGTCCATCTATCATACCACCAGGACACTGAGTAAGTGATATTTATTAAGAATCACTTGTAGACCAGAACATTCGTTTATTGACACAAGGCACAAATAGTCAGCATAGAGTGAATTTCGAGTAGGATGAACTTATAATATGATGTAGTCTCATATATTTAGCATTCCCATATGTCATTATGTTTGCTCATTAAACAATTACTACTCACTATCACCCGATACATCATTTAGTCATTATATATAGTCCTCATTCTGAGGTTATACGTAGAGTATTAGGTAAGTATGGCCAGTCGGTTGACGAGGTAGTGAATCCTTATAGACTAAGATGGTTAGGACATGTATCACGTATGCCCATCCACCGAATACCTCGAGGAGTGATGATAGCTGATGTAGGAGTAGGCTAGAAGAAAGTTTAGGGGAGTGAAACCAAGACATAACAACTGTCCGTTAAGATATTGACTACTAACTGAGCCATGCAGGTAGGCGCAGATAAACTGGTTGAGTTTCGCGTGATTATCATAACCAATGGTTCGAAATTTGGGTAACATGACCCGAAATTGTTTGCTATGGCGCAGGTGCATCTATTATTTATCTTCCCTTTAACCCAAATTTTCTAAATTTCTCATGAATTTCCTGTCTCACTAGTTTATGTTTTTTTTTCGAATTGCATCTTCCATGCCTTCCATCTTTTTCATTACGAGTAATACTATTACTGCCACAACCACTCTGGGATTTATTTTGATGATCTTATCTTGCTGTGTTAACGGGATATGGTAACTTGAACCTAAGTACACATGTCCCAGATTCTACGTTGCATTTGATTGATTGATTGACTAATGTCGTCAGACAGTAGAGTAGATGGAGTTTCTATCTACGCTATCAGTAACATTTTTGATCCTTTTTACATTTGTACTTCTCTAATGAGAAGCTGTAATGAAGGATAATGTTAGTTGATGTCAGTTATATCTAGCATTCTAGAAGACTTGTTTGTCAGTGTTAATAGATTATCGCATATAAACGTGTATTTGTGTAATCACTAGCGTTGACAAAGGTTTGATGAACAAATACAATTTACCATTCAGAGTGAAAGAAGATGCACTCTATATTTAATGTAGAGTCAAATAATGCCTTTTTATAACACTGATTGAATATATCTTTTTCAAAATATTATGCATATAAGTAAGACGAATAGTACTGAGGTTAGGGTAATCTTTATTAAGAGTTACACTTAAACATGCGTCACTCATTCACTAAATAAACAAAAGAATAACCAAAAGTACTGGGTACCACATTGAAAACATTGGAGACAACCTCAACCTAACGGAATCGAGTGAAAATACTATTTTAATGATTTAAACTGAATAATAATTATTATTCAATCAAGCATACAGTTAAATATTTTGTTGCTATGTGAGGTGAATATCAGTATATTCTAACATTATTTTTAAACAACAATCCCAGAAATACACGTCTCTCAGTATACCGAACACTATAAATACTACTAAACTCGTCTCATATTTTCTTAAACAAATTTAGCGAATTTTCCAACAGTTACACTATTAGCATCATTAGTAGAAAATGTTTAAGCGATCCCGCTGTTTATATTTTTGACTGAATGTTAATTAGTTTTCGTTGGGATATGCGTTTGTTATCTAGATATCCTCATTTGTGTCAAAGTTTTATATAGAATAGATGAACTGGGGCACTGGAATCCAGATACTCTTGTGAATATTGAACTATACATATTATCGAAGTCAAATAACAGATACGTAGCAGTATAGAAGTTTCGTCATGATTGTTAAATTTTTATATTTTAGACTACAAACTGATCGTTGATGCACATGTAGCAAAATGTATATTTAATGATTTTTATAGCCACAAAAATACATCCTACGTGTGATCACATGTATGTTCAATAACTATGATTTATTTGTATCTATTATGAGCGGGCATAATTAATTGGTTAATCGATAACTACCCTACTTTTAATGTTCGAATAAGTACTACCAAGGTCATTAACTCTTCTACTTTGTTGGCCACGACCTATGATCAAAGATGATAAAAGTGAAAGATTGCTCCATGTTGACTGTATGTCCTGTTTGAATTAAATGAGCTAAAATGGAGTTGTCAACAGTTTTAACTACACCTTTGCTTAACCACACTGAGAGGTGCTCACGAGCCCGAATATACAAGTTCCTAGAACATCTGCCAATATAATTTGCTCTACAGAAGCAGTTGAATTAATAGATACAGAAAGAAGTGGCTACTCTAGGTAATTTATCTTTCAACCTTGGAGGGATTATTGGACATGTGGAAAACAATAATTGTAGTTTACCTGCATTAAAAGTTTTTTGAATTGATCTGCTTAACTTCAGTTTCAGCGTTTCATTTGATGCATCGCCTCTGAATTGTAAGCGTATATACAGAGGCTATTTGCTCACAGTTAGGCATTCCTTATGCTCTGTTTATTGGCTATGTTTTTATTTACAAATTTCTCAGGATATCCATTTTCTTTCAGGGTCGTGTATAATACCTTGGTTTCATTTTTGACCGTATGTAGAGAGCATATGGTCTTGATTCTATAGTGAAGTGCCTTAGTCACGTTCCTTTTGTATTATAAAACAGCAAAACTAAGAAAATTTGGGGACGAATCTATCTACCTGTTGAGATACATATATCCTATTTACCGTGTGAAACTCAGGAACAATTACCGTACATCCATAATCTTCGAAATCATCTCGCAGATGCGTACCACACAGTAAATACTAACACACCGAATCCCAATAAACACCAGAAACATGTATACGACCGACACACTAATAAACCGGTGTACAAACCTGGAAATCGTGCTTGGACGCACCGCTTTGTAATGTAGGTAAACTACAATTAATGTTTTCCACATTTCCAATAATCCCTCCAAGGTTGAAAGATAAATTACCTAGAGTAGCCACTTCTTTCTGTATCTATTAATTCAACTGCTTCTGTAGAGCAAGTTATATTGGCAGATGTTCTAGAAATTTGTATATTCGGGCTCGTGAGCACCTCTCAGTGTTGTTAAGCAAAAATGTATTTAAAAATCTTAACAACTCCATTTTATCTCATTTGATTATAAAATCGTAATATCGTTTTTAGACCGCTCTACACTACGTGGAACTATTGGTCTGGATTATTACCAAGTAACGCCATCAGATTTATATTATTTTCTGTCTGTCTGTGCCAAAAGTGCAGAAGAGCATTTACGATTGATTGACCACTGGCTGATCAATGTCATGTATGTCAGGTCCTTCTTAGTGCAGATCGAATCCTATCGACCAAGTTACAATGTAAATACATCTCAGTCCAACAAGAGGTCAGTCACAGCCTGGATAGCCCAGTGATAACGTCTCTGACTGTGAAGCTGTGTGACATGAGGTCGAATCCGTCAGGGAGCACCAGTTCCCTCAAGATTACAGATACACCTCGCTGACAAGTGCCAAGTAGCACGAAACCTAGATCCAGGATTTCCTGTTGACTAACCCCAGCCACCATCTTAGTGCAAAAGAGAATTTGATGATCGAGTGGAATCTATTTGTAGTGGTTACTCAGGAGCTTGAAAGTAACATTCATCACAAAACTGTTGGTACTATTTTGTCATTCAATTTACAACATTGTTTCAAGTGTTATCGTTTCATCGTTTTTTATCTATATATAGGCATTCCGGTTTATGGTATCAATATCTGTTTTGGTATATTATTATTTTCCTTGCATATTGTCACATCTTCATTGAGTTCTTTTACAGGTCCGCAACACACTGCCGTACTAGGACGAAATAGCTGTCTAGTTTACCTGGTTCACAGTGGTGTTCTAATGAAGATCAGTCAGCTATATAAACTATGAAAAATAAATATATAAATATTTTCACTCTATTTATGTATTGTTTCTAAAATTTACCTCCTTCAATACTTTTCCGCATCGTTTCGAGATATATTTTTCCTTTGTTCACTTCTGATTTATTTTTGAAATGTTTAAATCTCAGTTGCATATCACGTTCTTTCAAAGTTTCTGTTAGGTTTAAGCCTGACTATAGACAGAAGCCATAACAACAAATAGGCACAGGAAAACAAAATCTTAAAAATAGTGCGAAATGAGTCAATGAAATTAATAAGTACGGAGATGATTTCAAACAATTTCTGATTACCACTAATATGGCTGTGCCAAAGTATGGGGATAAGAAAGTAAGATAAGAAAATGTGACTTCAAGATCATGGTAAATGGTTCAAACAAGCGGTTACGTTGTCGATCGCATGCATACTAATTTTGACGAAAATATAACAATTAACGTAGAAACAGGAAGCCGGTTATTTTTCAAAACCATTCTGAGTTTATGATGAAGAAATGATGATATTTAATAGAGACACGTTAAATGCAAATATTGTACACTCACTTTGGAAGACGATATCTGACTGTTGAATGCAACTTTATCGGTTAACTTGTGCTCAGTTGTGATTAATTAGAATGCCTTACACATGAATCCCTCCAATATCCATTTGCTTGGTTGCCTGTCTGTCTATCTATCTGTTTATAGATCAATCATATTCCACTATTATATTGACGCATGAATACTTCAGGCATACTGACTGATTAACATTCTGGACAGTTTGAATTCGTTTCAATACAATACAAACTGGATCAGTCTAATGCAGTATTGGATTTATCTTACAACAATACGATTGTTGGATATCCTATTTCCAATGTTATCTCCATTCCAAGTGCCAGTGTTAACATAAATCTAATTCAATCACAAATAGGTTCAATTTTTGTGTTATTCCAATACTACTATTATTTCAATCCAGTTGTGTCCACTCACTCCTATTAGACTATGTTTGTTTAAGATAACGTATATGCTGGTTAATTCTATTACTTAAATATACATTAAGGAACATTTGTATTCTGGCACTTAATTTATTTGTCCTCGGTTATCGAGTATAGAGATAATGAATATAACAGAAATGCAGCTAGTTAGGATGGTAATTAAAGTTTAGCATTATCATTAGGATTAGTCCATAAAAGCAATAAAGACATGATTTATTAATTCTCTTCATCAATATAAGGGTATTCGTGGAGGAATACATTTTAGCCTAATATCTGAACATCAACAGCGTTGCTTCGTTTGAATGTAAACCACAAGAACGTTGAAATGTTAACAAAAACTGATGTTTTGTTTGTTGTTATTTTCTCTATTACAAACTAATCACTGGGATCTGGTAAAACGTTCTCACATTTACTTTAAAAGTTGCGTAATTTCGCTCGTGAATTTTAGTTTTGATATTACGATAATCATTATTAGGATTATTACGTTATATTATGAATTTACATGTAATGATCGAACACGATCCGTTTCGTAATATAATTGCTGCTTCGCTTTATCGACAGCTTTCTTTCTTTGTTCCACTTGGAATTTCTCCTCTTTACGATCAATGGCCATTCTAACTTTTTCCTCATCGGCCAAACGATTAGAACGATCTTCAAGCTTCTTTTCTCTTGATCCCTGATTATTTTATTAGATTAATTAATTTTTTAGAAAAAACGGGAATAAAAATCACATTATGGGGGAGAAATTAAAATATTCCTGTAACTTTGAAAAGATTGATCTATACCAACTCGCTTAAAATTGTGCTTCTATACATTTGATTTTGGTAAGCCTTTCAATTAAATTAACTCCGATTGTAGGTCTTATAGGGTTGCTAACGGTCCCAAGCACCGGTAAAGGAGGAGGGTCGGGCATGGGGTCAGCAACCTCATCCTGTAGAAAACAACCCTACCAAAAACACCATTCAGAAAAAAATCATTTAAACCATTCAAACCCAGTCCTGGGATTTGAAGGACCTTCATTTAGAAGGATGATGACGCCTCATGGTGGGAGCCGAGATTCTTCGGAAATCACGAGGCCGATTCTGTTGGGAACGTTAGGTCACCAGAACTCACTGGGACAAAACCTAATTTTGCAATTTCATTTAGAAAATTTGAATTTCTTTCATTTCGCGCCAGGAGCGCTCTTTTCACCTTCGTGTCGTATTTCCCACTTGGGAGAATCTTAAACGCTATTGGTCCGTTGTGTCTTTTAGTATGCTATTTTGTAACGCTTGTCGAGGACGGTTTTGTACTGTATATTTACGCTTTGATTTGTGTCTGTTGTGATCGCTCGTGCTTCTGGGATTTTGCGGAATATACTTCCCCGTTCGGACTTTGAATTCTCTTTCTAGTTAGCGGGGCTAGGACGCAATAGAACAGCTAGTTATTTGATCTTTGGTCGCAAGTCTTTGTCCCGTTCGCAGTCTAAGTGAACTCGTAATCGCTTCAAACCTAGCAGATTCCCCTTCTAACAAAGAGAGCAACAGTTAATATAGATACATGGGATGTTCGGATAATGTGGGAGATCGGGAGGACTGGTCAAATAGTTACGGAAACAAGGAGATACAACTTGGCGGTTCTCGGAATCAGTAAAACCTATTGAACCAAAGCTAGATAAAAAAGGTTAGATACGAGAGAGATGCTGCCGTACTCTGGTCACGAAGAAGAAAATGCTCCGCACACTCTATGAGTTGCACCGATACAGTCCAAAGATGCATTTAAAGCACTTATAGGATGGGAATCTCATGGATCCAGAACCGTCACAACATTCTTCAAAACAAAGAAGGAGGAGGAACAAAACAACTTCCAAATAAGGATGAAATTAGGGAGACATTGTAGGTAGATACCTCATAAATTGCAAAAATCATCAAACTGCATCACGAGGCAAGTGCCAAATTGGAATCGTGAAGACAGATTGCAAAGTGAAAGAATAAAGAACACATTGCGCAGAGAATTGGAAGCAGATATCAGAAGAATGAATAGTGACTGGAAACAACAGGAAAGGAGAGACCAGGTCAAGTTTGTTTAGATATTCCTTGTCGGTGGCCGATGTTCCACTAGGAGTGACAGGTGTGAATCAGTAGGTAATGTGTCATTTCAGTCAAATTACAATTGCTTATTATTTTGAGGTTGATTATCGTATTTTTAGCTTCATAATGATTTCTCATTAATTACCAGCTGTACTAAACTTATTTTTCCAAAGACGAACTCTCTGCTTAATCATGAACACTTCTATTGCTTGTTTACTAGGAATGTTTAACATCGATTTCAGTTCCCAATCGTAGTACTGAACACTTGGTCTGAGTAATTCATTAAAAAATCACTTTTCTCAAACTGAGGTTATCCGTGCATATTTTGTTCAAAAACCAAGAATACTAATAGAAATAAAAATTTTAAACTACTTAATGATTTAATATTTTTGGAATAAACACCAAAACTTATAACACGCTGTATTAATAACTCATACTACTTATTTTCAAGGTTTGAATAGTTTTTTCTGGTTAGCGTTTTTTTAGCGAGTTAGTTTTCTACGGGTTGGGGACGCTAAACCCATGCCAACCCTCCTCCTCTATCCGGGCTTGGGACCGGCAGTAGCCCCCGGAGGGACTCCAGGCGGAGTTTATTTTTCAAAGTAAGCAGTAAAATAATGTTATCAATTAATTATACATTAATGTTTACTCATTATGAAATGCGACACAGATGGTAAAACGAGTACTAGCCAAGAAAGAACGCAAAGCAGAAATTGAAGCGATAACCAATGAAAATAAACTGATTCAAATGGAAGAAAAATTTTTTCAAGATTACGCAACCAGAGTAAGTTTGTCACAAAGAACAAAGAAGCAGACCCTTGTTATTTTACTTAATAACAATACTTGTTCTGATTATAGCTTTCACATAGACTCTGGGGTCATCATTATCGTGTTTACAGTTCTAGTAAAATATCTGTAGGACAAATTAAGTTCTATACATAATGTTAGACAAAAGTAAGCATTTATTCATAAACCCTGAAACGTATTAGAGGCACGAGGGCGGTGGTCAGCACCCGGTAGCCCACATCATGAAAGAATAATTTTTCTTAGTCAGTGGCTGATGTTCCACTAAGTGCAAAGGGCTTAAGTAAGTCCAACTAACTTATTTAATAGATATTGTCGTTGGAGCAGTAACAATTTGTTTATAATTTTGTATTATTGTCATGTTTGTATGAGAATGTTACAGCACATACACATCCGTCTTACTAGATTAATTACTAGTTGCTTAAATCTCTCTCTCTATATATAAGAATCTTCGATCCTATTACTTCACTCTCATTCACGTTCCTATTCGTTTTCGCTTGGTGTGCTTGTGGCAATGGGACCTGTACTGTATAAAAATAATCTGCAGTCAACGCTTCCTTATGTCCTCTGGAAAGTTTTACCATTTAGAGTTACATAATAATGGTTATCAGGACGAGTAATAAACGAAGCATAGGACTAAAACTCATTATGGATACAGTACGACACTTTTTCTTAACGTATTTTGATGAAACATTCAGAGTTTAAAACTAATAATGAACCAGACAAATTAAGATATGGATAGTCTAACTTAAGAAACAGGTAGATTGCGCCCTACTGAAGTGACTTTTGAAACGAGAAGAATAAGGGTTATGGAAACTAAACTCACTACTATTTATGAGCAGAGATGAATGGTGGCTAGCAGTGGAATACAGAACATTATAGATACATATGATACACCGGTGTAGTTCAGTAGATCTTTTCTGTGCTATAACATTGCATCAGTTGTTATTCTCATTATTTGCGTTTATTGACTTTTTTCCTTTACATAAACATCGTTTTTACGTACACTATTCACTATTTATAAACGTGTCGTCATATAACGATACGCTAGTTTCATTCCAAACGCCGTCTGTAAGGTCCCTTAATCTTTTTATTCCGCCTTTTAGGGTCGCTAACCACCAACTTTAGTTCATTATGATGTACAAAACATCCTAGCAGTTGAATATAGACAATATTGCAAAAATAGCCGATGGGATATGCGAGAGAACCAAGCAAACGAGTCCTCAATTATATAACACAACGTGAGGTTACAGGGTCGATACGCTACAGAAAGAGATAGATGTTTTATCCTACATGTTGGCGAATTTTAAGTAGGACGACAGACTACAAAGATGGTCACCAAATAGGTCACGCACGAGAAAACGATCGCTCTCCAGAACAAGCCAACCAATAAAATTTTAGCCACATTCACCTCATCACAATTTCACTAGTCATATTAGGCCAAAAAGGCGTATATCTCCAGCATTAGTGTGCACAAACTATAGAATTTAGTCTGACCAAAAAACATTTACTAGTCACAAAATCAATCTTAGTGTTATGATGAAATACGCTTCACCATTATCCTTTTCAATATACTTAAGTGATAAGAAACAAAATGCCTACTAAAATAAACAAATGAGCATACCAAAAGTGTATTTGTCCATTTTTTTACAATTTCTCTTGACTGTGTTTTAATTTTTTCAATCTGTAACTTCTTCTCTTCTATTCTAGAAGTTTCATTCAAATTACTATCCAGTTTGTTTTTTAAACGTTTCCATTCTGATTGACTGATCAGTTTCACTCGTCTTACGTCCATAGGTATATCATTAACAGGATTTTCAAATAAAAATTCCTTCCGATCTATGTCTAAAAGAATAAGAGAATGTAATATTGGACATTTTCTTAGTAAAAATAGTTTGATAACTCCTTTGGAGACGCTAAAAACGATCATAAAAATGTGAAGCCGGTTTCAAGCCAATCAGGATACAGTTAATACTAATAAATAATTTATCTCATGGGAAGCTGAGAAGGGTAGTTTTGCTTGGGATTTAGGTAGCCCATATTGCTAAATACTTAAATACTGAGCTGATCTTTTTTAGGCATGGTGAATCATCAGGTTTCTTGAAATATTCCTTATTCCTTATTATTCTCATATTTATCAGTTTTAAACATTTTAGCACTTATAGATTGGAAAGTATCTATTCGACCAATATTACGGACATGACTAGTTGAAAAGTCCCAAATAGCATGAACATATGTCTGTGGCTTTCTAAAATTTGACTCCAACCTGTATGCCACGGGTATTTTGTTCGTTCTTGGCTTTTCTACTCGCCTGCTATGTCCTCTGAGGTGTCCCGATCTAGTGGGAAGAAAGAGAGAGAATAAGTTAGGTCCGAAATCATTTCTCAGTATTCTGTACATCAATATTAGATCTCCCCTTAGTCTGCGATAGGACAGAGTAAAGAGGTTCAGTTTTTCAAGCCGCTCTTTGCATGATAAACCCCGGAGTTCCGGAATTGCACGCGTAGCTGCCCTCTGTACCTTTTCTAGTATGTCCGAGTCACCTTTTAAACAGGGGCTTGCAGCCTGAACACAGTTCTCTAACTTAGTTCTCACTAAGGATGTGTATAATGTGGTGAACATGGTAGTATCAAGCTTAGTGAATGTCCTTTTTAAAGCCCAGAGGGTTCGAAACCCCTTAACTGCGACCTCCCGGCAATGGGCCGTCGTCTTAAGATCATTGCTCACTGTCACCCCTAGGTCCTTATGAGACCGGACTACGGGTAATGACACATCCCCTATGTTGTACGTATTAACCTTTGAATCCCCCAAGTGCATGTAGACACACTTTTCCGAGTTGATAGGCATTAGCCACTCTTTAGACCAGTTTATCATATTATTTAAGTCCGCCTGAAGAGTAAATGCGTCTTTGTCTCCAGTTATTACTCGCCAAATTTTTACATCGTCAGCGTATAATAACATTGGAGACTGTACTATACTTGTAAGATCATTAACGTACATTATAAAAAGTAAAGGACCTAAGACGGAACCTTGGGGTACTCCACTAAGTACTGGTCTCCAGATGGAGCACTTGGAATTTATTCTTACTTTTTGCCTACGACCTACTAGGAAATCCTTAATCCATTTTAAAAGAGGTCCGGCAATACCAAGGTTTTCCAACTTCAATAGCAGTCTATTAGTTGGCACCTTGTCAAAAGCCTTACTGAAGTCTATGTAGACAACATCCACTGAGTTTCCGTTGTCTAGCGCATTAATCCAGAGCTCCCTAGCTATAAGGAGGTTCGTTGTACAGGATAGACCCTTTCTAAAACCATGTTGTGCCATGTTCAGCAAGTTATTGGTTTCCATAAATGCTGTTATGGTCCGTTTGATTATTCTTTCCAGTATTTTAATTACAACACTGGTGAGGCTTACGGGTCTGTAATTTGATGGAACTTGTCGTGGACCTGTTTTATGTATGGGAGTGACGATTGCGTCCTTCCAGTCCATAGGTAACACACCTTGGTCAAGTGACATTTTGAATATCACAGTCAGTGGGGCTGCGATATATTGGGCAATATGTCTCAAGATTTTAGGGTGTAGTTCATCTGGTCCTGTTGACTTCTCCATGTTTAGGGTGCTAAGAGCCTTAAGCACATCGTTTTGGTCGAAGTCCACGGTGAGCAGCTGGTTTGTTGACTCTGTAATTGGGTCTGGTTCTTTCTCTAGAGGAGGTTCCTGAGTGAAAACTGCCCCAAAGTAGTCAGCCATAACCTCAGCTTTTTCCTGATCTTCCTCTATCATTTCAGATTCACTTCCTACTTTAATTAGGTTGGGAATCCAATGATGAATCCTTGTTCTGTAGTTTATGTACGAGAATATCCTCTTGGGCTGCTTGAGTGCAGATTCTGCCAGCTGCATTTCATATTTTCTTTGCGCTTCCCGAATTTTAGTTATACACTCGTTTCTTATCGATCTGTAGCGTTCCATCGTACCGTGTGCCAAGGCGGATGGCAACATCCCAGCATTTCTTCTTTTGTCTTAGTAAGCGTCGAATATCCCGCCCTATCCAGGGATGTCCGTGCTTCTTTTTCTTTGGGACAGTCCAGGGTATGTATGGTTGAGTTACCCGATTGTATAACTGCCTGAATAGAGTCCATGCCTCTTGTACTGATGCCTTTGAGTCAATTTCCCAGTTCTCAGCCGATGCTGCGGAGTTAATTGCCTGCATATCTGCCTTCCATATGTTAGGACGGGCCGGCGCAATTGTTTGACAAGCAATCTCAGCCATGAATTTGAATAAGATGACTGCATGGTCACTTCTCCCAAGTGGTGGGAGAAAAGCCGTTTGACCAACGTCATCACCGTGTGTGAAGACTAAATCTAAAAGTTTCTTAAGTCGTATCTTGTGGGATCTCTAATGTGTTGGAATAATGCTAGTCCAATCGAGGTTTCTAACAGTTTGGAGTCGAACGACGATATGGATGACCCTACTTCTAAGTTAACCCAGTTTATATATGGTGCATTAAAGTCGCCTACTACAAGGCTTTTACCGTTGTTACACCAGGACTTAAGTTTACTTAGGAGAAAATCATCTGCTACACATTCTGGACTGCGATAAACTACAACTACTTCAATATCTTGCCTTCGGCATTTCAACTTACATCTCACCAGTTCACATGTCCCTGAAACATGTGCTACTGTCTCAGCTAATCTTATGGTTAGGGTACTTTTCGTGTACAGAATAACCCCGCCTTCCTTCGGTTTAATCTATCAGCCCTACTGGTTATGAAACCAGTCAACTGGATTTCACTATCTAATACTTCTGACGTTAACCAAGTTTCCGAGACAGCGATAACGTCCGGTTTTTCTTTATCCACCACTGACTTCAGCTCCGCCATTTTATTTAGTAGGCTGCGAGCATTTGTGTAGCACACTTTTAAGTCTGTGGAGAGCTTTCCCTTGCCACCCAGAGTGGCTTGGGGATCGTTTTGCTCCGAACTTTTACAATCTGAAAACCCTTAAGAACGAGGTTTCTTTCACCGTTTCGGCGACGCTCGTTTATTTCCGCTTCTGCAGCTCTTCTCTTAATACGATCAGCTAGGCTGAGGTCCTCACGGACATATATTCCGGATCCAATCAGTTTACGTGAATTACTTAGAATCAGGTTCCTTTCTTCCACCGTGTTGAATGTAACCTTTAGGAGGCGGTTTTTCTGAGGACTTTCGGAATCCACCTTTTTTCCTATTCTATAAAGCTTACAAATACTAACTCCTGAAACTGTATCTGGGAGTAGTTTACTTAATGATGTCTTAATATGATTGAGATCATGTTCAAATCTTGCCTTTGGTTCAGTATCTGAAGATTCTCTTATCTTATGAAAAATGACTGATCTCTCAGAGAGATCTGTCTTGTCACGCGGTGAGGATTTTTCTTCTGATAACATCCCTTCCAATGCCTTGCTGACCAGCTGCGTTTTGCCTACAGCCTTTTTCTTCTTATTTCTTTTTCTTCTTACCGAAGTCCATTTGTCACCACTCAGAACAGCCACACCTGGACTATGTGGAACGGTGACAGTTTTATCCGGATCTTCTATTTCGACTAGAGGTGTATGACTGCCGATGTCAATATCAAGCGACACTTCATTTCTCGTTAATGTCAACGGAGATTTCACGTTCCCGTCAACCGCAGTCAGGTGTTTAATGGGTCCAGTAGCAGCACTTACTACACTGACACATTCTTCATCGTCAGTGCTCCTGTTATCAGTGCTTCCGCCATCGTTTTTCTTGCAGGCCAAAGCCAATAGGCCCATAGCCTCCTGTATTAGTACCTTTTTATCCGTACAGCAGAACATACAAAGCCAATGCGAGTTAGGCTTCGAGCATCTTTTGTAAGCCGTCGGACTTAGTCGTGTACACATTTTGTGATACCACTTTTTACAATCGTCACACTGCATTCCCTCCTCCACGGGGAACAAATAATTTGGTTGCCCACATTTGTGAGTCTTACCAACCATTGTAATTCGATTTAAAAGGTTTAAAAACGCGAAATGAACACAAGTGTTAGTCAGTAGTAAAAAAAGGTACTCAGAACAAAATTTAGCAAAAAACTTCAAACTTTAACCAAAGTGCTTTTAGTTAAAGTAGACCAAGAATGCTTTTTGGTGTAATAAGTACCCAAAGCAAGTATAATCACAACAAGTACAAAGATCACTGCCCTTTTTCAAACGAGCGCGAGATGATCTGATTCTAGTATATAGAATGATAAGAAATTATCTTGAACCTGATATGTCCTCTATTCTCTTCCTACCCAGCAAGTAGAAAATTCAAGAACGAACAATATACCCATGGCATATATGTTTTCACACCGACTCATCAATTCTTGGAACCTTTTGGTTTTCCAGATGGTAGAATCCTAATGTTTAAGCAAGTTTGCATCAGAAGAATTTTTAAAACTTGAAATATTGGCCTAGACCAGTTGAAATAAACCTTGGTTTTGACTTGGATTATGGATAGACTATGTTTATAGGCGTACCTTAGCAGAAATTTAAAGAGTATAAAACGGCAAACTTAAGATATGTCAAATAGGCGAATGTCATTTGGAATATTACCGAAGAGTTCTTATGGGGTTTTTTACGCTGGTTTGTCAAATTTGCAATTAACTATATAATTCTGTCTTTATGTTTATTATTTCAACAACTTTAAGACAAGATATCTTTACCAAGGTGAGAAATCCTTACTTCTCATTCTGACCATATGAAGAGGTTCACGTCTAGCCAGGTGGTACTTGGTATACACTAGGGGAGTATGTAGAGTAGCATTTGTGAGAGCTGGAAAAAAGAACAAAGAAGTTGATCGACGACCCAACAAGAGAACAATATTGTAAGTGCATATGCACTTTAATTGAATGTATAGATCCGAACGACTAATCAATCAATAATTTCAAATTGAAGTCCGTCCCTATCTTACCTTGTTGTTAGTATTACAAAATCCCTTTTCAAATGGGCGCCTTTGTAACCATGATAACGAAACTTTAAAATATTTCTAATGCCCAATGTCTTTGTAGTGAGTTCAAGTTGTTCAAATGGTTGTAGATGAAATAGAAGAAGTGTTTCATCAACGACCTTCCGTGTCTAGTAACAGTTGATCAGCAACACTTTCAGGCAGGAACCTAGGTATATCAACAATAATTGGGGAAAAAGAAATCGGCAAATCCTTAGTCCTTAAGAACATGTAAATTTTCCTCTTAAAGGACTCCTGTAAATGCGCTTGAAATAGCTCAGCCGGCAGCAAATTCCATCACTTGTTAACTCTTAAGGAGTAGAAGTTGTGTCTACAGTCCGTTCTGCTGTGTTGTGCCGGAAGATGTCATAGGTATTCGGAGTTGGACAACGCTTTGACCAGTAACACCTAATATGAATCGTATCCACCAAGTGAAATCAAAAGACAGAAGCGAGGAAATTCGAAGATATATTTTATAAGCTATCAATATATCGAAGATCGTCTGACCTAATCTAACTAGCGATTGCAGGGGTTGTTGAGCACGGCGTTCTCACTCGTGATCTGGTGCAGATGCATGACCGAGCGTCTTCAGCTAGGTGAGTCCATTAAAAATAATTTGGTCGGCATCCAATGCAGAAAACTTACAAAGCTATTTGTTTTGAGAATTCGTCTACCACTACATGTCTCTATTTTCTGGGTGTTACCCCTTAGGTTTGTGTTAGAGCCAAACTTAGGTTGGTATTTTAGAGGATGTCCAGAAGTGTTCAGGATACTGTAAGCCACTAGGTCACCTCGAAGATGCCTTCACTCTAATGGATAAAGGTTTGGCGATTGAACTGGTATTCAGTGTTCCCGTCGTTTGCTTATATAAACCATTTTTCACCTATGCACACGCTCTATTCTGTTTCGTTACGGTTCCAGATCTTTCGGAAAATTAAATGGTTCGTAGTCCAGTCACTCGACTGCTCCAGTCCTAGTCAGTTTAATAGTGATACCAAAACCTCTAAACTCTCTGTCACGTGCATATATATAGACTGTTTGATTTCTTTGCGCTCACTTTCTTTGATTCGGTATATACCCATGTATTTGTTAATGTCCAATAAGTGATAGTCTAGCCACTCGACTTCATTAATCTTAGTCAATTGGTTATATATTAGTGGATTTGAGTATCTCGTAATATTTGAAAAGACGAAACTGAAAGAATCAGAGGGTAAACAGAGATGTGAAGCATAAGAAGTAGTTGCTGATGTGCAGCAGTGATAACCGTGGTAATTTACGAAACACAGCAGACGGCTGATCAAATGTGGGACGGTAATACATGGGTGAATACGTGTTTGTCAAGTGGATAAATCTGGAAGAGGATAGTTACGAAACATGCAGGTCGTTTGTGTAATGTGAGGTTTAAAGTCCATAGCGTGGCATTTGGAAAGGCTGGATTTTAAACTATTTTCCTTACGTTCTTTTAGCTTGGTGTCTTTTTCGAACGCAAGTTTGCCCCTTTCCAGGACTTGACATCATTAACGTGAATGTAGACCAGCAAGCCAATTTTATCTAAAGAACAATTCATGGAAATAATCAAGTGAATGGACTTGAAGTAGTTCTCCATGGGACTGTGGGTGCTGGAGTCCTTGTGTAGGGGTACTCCCTGCCCACCTTAGTATGGAATATTTGCCCCTCTAATTGGCTTGAGAGCTCTGAGAGGAGTAAGTTAGGAGAATCCAACCCAAAATCTTTTTATTGTAAAACAAATGTGGTAAACTTTTGGATTCATTTGTAAAGTCAATTAGTACTACTTGTCCTGGTACTTGTTGGTTGCAGATGTTTTAGCCGGTGATTAAACTCCAAAACCTTACTTTCCAAATTCTGTGTTTGAGCTCCATGACCCGTATATTCCTTTACTTAGCCGCCGACCAACCGCTCTTAAACCTAAACCTTGAGCAATATCGGGGATGACGTGATTACTTGCAACGAGCCATGTCTTTCCTGTCTGTTCCTCTGAAGATTATAGGGAGATTGCCCCCAGTTTGACTGTTTAGGGGGTTGATGGAACAAGTCACATATATTAATGTGATGATAGTCTCTGTTCATCGTTATACAACTTTGAGTTCTATGTTGCTACATCTCGATGACTTGCCTGGCTAAAGGGACGAAATTGTTCTCAGTACTAAATTGGAGGTTGGGTGAATGTTTCCTAGGCCAGTAGAAGAGTGTTCTTCAGTTGTGAGTGCTTGGTTTAACCTTATGACAAACTGGGTATTAAAGACTTCCCTCGATTCTACTATGATGACATCTATAATTTACCGTTGGGCTATAGACCCACTGTGATGTCTTTAGTTTGGCTTCTTTATTTAGCTTGGCCTAAGGACAGTTCACATTGTAGTATCTTGCTTGGAATCATGACAAATGCGACCGATGATTTCGTATCAGCGCCGAGTCGTTTGTGAAGTCATTCTGAAGGTCCCACATACTCCTCATTGAGACCTACCAATCGGTTGCTGAAGTCGCTAGCTAGGAGTATCGGAACAAAACCCAAGTGAAGCGGTGACAATACCACCTCGAATGTCTTCCCCCCATGTGTGTAATTTCTATTGAGGTGGTTGTTTCCTCTAACTGAATGCTCGTTGAGTTAGCAGTGATAAGACTATGGTAGCTTAGCTGACTTAATAGCAGGAGGTATCGTAGCTTTAAAGCTATTGGAAACGTAGATAAATATTCCGCTACTTATTCGGTGTTCTCTGTCACATCTGAGTAGTGCCACAATTTGTGTTATCACTTTATCGTCCGCAACATCAGAGGAGAGCCAGGTTCAATTAGAAGTTCTAGCAAGAAACACGTATCTGACCCTTCCATTTTATTACTAAGTCCCCTTAAACTAGTGTAAGGATGCGTAGTCGATTTTTAGTGGCGTCTGGTTAAGAGGCTGCAGGTTAGATATTAGTAGCATCAGGCTTTTGCCTAATTCGAAATGTACAGGTGGCGCTGTTTTGACATTTATTGCGAGTTGATATTCGAGAGCAACTGTAACTATTTCACTGTTCGTACGTTGTACATGTATTTGTAAAACTAAGGTCTACTTCGTTATTAGTACTGCTCTTATAATAGATCTAATCTCAAGATCGTAGATTTGTCATGATATAATTGCCTAATCTTTAAGATCACATCACTGTCTACACTGACTCGTTTTATCATAAGAACCACAAACATATGTTGGAGAACACATCTGGACTGGAGATAGAACTATAAATTTAATGTGAATAGAAGAGACAAATTACACAAGAATGACCACGCCTGCAAGGCTGAGCCATGCCGGCCGATTTATTGAATTACGTCCCTCGCGTTCTCCATAATCAACCTCCTCTTCGTGTCAATTGTTGAATACAAGTTATTTCAGGAATGATATGCCCAACTTCAAAAGCCATGTGGTTCGGGTCAAATGCCACTACACTACTCTACCACCAGAATCAATGTGACGTTGATTCGATACCAAATCCAGTAGGATTATCACGCGCCGGAGGTTACCAAAAATAATAAGAATCCTTCCCGTATTGATAAGCTGAAAGATAAATCAGAAAGAAAGCGATATCAGCTGATCGAGTAATACATATAGTAATTTCAAAATATTTGGTTTTACTCTTAACACACGCGAAATGAAATTCAGACCAAGATTAGTTAGGAATTAAACAAACTAGGATTATAATAATTAAGAATGATTTCGTATAGAAATATATTAATAAGTCGCACTAACATGAGTAGTAATAGCCGTTGGTTGATAGCTTAACTTATAGGTAGTACAAGTACTTTGTGTTTAGAATTATTGCAAACAATCAACATTATAGAAATATCGATAATGGTTTGGCTTCAAATATCAATTTAAATAAAGCTTATACCAATACTCTGTCCAAATGAGTTGATTTCTTATTCCATCTGTATTAGTAGGCTTTCTGAAGGAACAAAGGTATGACCGTGGAGAAGAACAGTTCCAACTAGTGTTCCAGTGAGTTTGGTAAGTTTGATACGGTTTACTTAGTTAGTGAGAGATTTCCTCGACCTCATCATTACTTACCTGTGATAGAATTTAGTGATACTACCAATACATATGGTTGGTTATCAAAAATTCTTTTACCTGAAAATAGTGATAGTTGTGTGCATTTTGGACAGATAGCTAAAAGCAATTTGTTAAACATGAGTGCATTCATGAGAGACATGTTCTGGACTCAGTGTTGTTTATACTCACACCTACTGGCCGATGGTGCATATAAGTTAATTGCATGTATCTAGTTTCGCACAAGGTAGAAAACGACTTATTTGAAATTAAGTGAATACAGGTTGTGGAAATCAACACAGCCAATGTGTCACACATATAGGTGCTGCGGTGATGAAAGATGCTTTCGGCTAGACAAGTCTTAACAAGATGATGAAAAGTGACTGATGCTCATGTGATTATCATGGAAAATATAAGTTGAAACCAGGAGGAGTACAACTCCCAACTCATGTCTATGATAATGACTTGGACCGTAGTCAGTGTTGGGATAACGTCGACAGTGTTTTCGGTTTGCAGGAGATTTGCTTGACTGCTTATACTGATGATTTGCATACATGATTGCGTTGATAAGACTCTAATCAGACTGGCGAGGTTTAAAGATGTTTGCTAAAGGAGCTAGTGGTAGCGCAACACACTATAATATAGAGTTTTCATAAGAAGTTACTGTAGTTAGCTTAGTGACACTCGTAAACACGTGACAAAGGTGATTTGAGATAAGAAAGGTTAAATAATTTTTGAACTTAACAGGCTTCGTCTGTAAACAACACACTTTCATAGTACTATGTCGTGATATGAAGCTGTTAACTATATCTTATACCAAAGACGTTACGGATGTGGTTCGTACGAAATATATACGCTTAGCCTAGGTGAAAATATATACACATTAAGTACAAAAACGGTAAGTCATCCGGCAAAATGTCAAGACTCTTCTGGATTATTTTCAGTAGTTAGATCACGCAATAAACTTGATGTATATAAGACCGGCTATGACAAGTT